GCTATTATAGCAAGAAGAGGAATTTTCAGCTGGACATTAAGTGTAACGGGCCTCAAGGGCTAGTTTTTAGTTATAAAAGCTACACTAGATCACATGTGCTATCATTGTTGAGCATTTCACTCAACTTTGATAATAGGTTCTATGTAGTTTGCAAGTTTTATTTCTTTCATTTTTTAGGACTTCATGACACTTTGTTTTTCATTTTTCTATATATATAAAAACTAGCCCTAGGCACTGCCTAGTGGATTACTAAAAAAAAAGCACGTGAAGTATCTTGGTTGCACTTCCACAAATATGATTTTATTTTTACTTCTTAAATTATGTTAAGGATTACAATTCTAAATATATAAAACTAGAAAATATTGTTTTCGGATGGTTTTCAAATAGTGTAAAAAGCCTAGAGCTATGACCTTCACTTAGGTATTTGCCTAATGGGTTGTAAACTGTAAAGCTTGTTTCGTTTGTCGGGGTGTATTATAGCTATCAACACTCCAGTACCCACTCAATACCTCTCGATAAGAGAGTGATTTTGCCCAATTTGGCTTTCTAAAGTCCAAATAGGTATTGAACAAAACAATTGATAAAATGCTCAAGTCAGGTTTTACTATCTCTAGGTTCAACCCTTTAATTGGGGCTATCAATCTCTTGATTTTATCCCAAATTCTTGTTAGCCAAGTTTTCTTAGACTAAGTCTCTCTTTCTCAAGTAGAGACCAATCAAATAGGCATAAACTAATGTTTGCACCATTAGTTCTACAATTAAAGGCAAGAACAAGGCTAAATAATAAATACATAACCATAAACAATCCATAAATCAAACACCTATTAGGCTCACACACTAGGGTTGGGTCACAACCCTAGTTAAAAATCTAGCTACTCATAATGGGTATAGAAGAAAATAAAGAAAAAAGGTGATAAAACTCATATTGCAAGATTAAAAGATAAAAATCCAATGTTAATTCACCAAAGTAAGCTAAAGTTGCCTAAAGAGGCAAGTAAAAACGGCTACAGGACTTTCAATATTCCAAACTTGACCTAATTTCGTTAAAGTAGTATATTTATACAAAGCTGGAATTTTTGGACAAAATTGCCCTTTCGGAGATTATGCGGCCGCACAATTATATGTGTGGTCTGTACTTCTCTTCAGATCTTGACAGGAGTTGACTTTGCGGCCGCACAATTCTGGATTGCGGTCGCATCTCTCATGTTCTGCGATCCGCATAATTCTAGGTGCGGCCGCATTGGGCTCTTTTGCGGACCACACCTTTCCTGAGTGCGGTCGCATAGCTATTTCTGCGGCCGCACAATTATTGTGCAGTCCGTATTTTTTCTTGAGCTTGAAATGAAACTCTTTGAACTTTGGCTCTTACGTAGCTTCTACGGCCGCACAATAATTGTGGGGTCCGCACTTTAATTGTGCGGTCCGCACTTTGCGCTGGGGCTCTGTTGATTTTCCTTCACATGTTGCGGCCGCAGATAGAAATGTGCGGTCTACACTTGAGCTTCTGTGCCTGATTTTTGTCCTTGTTCAGATCACTCCTCCTTGAGTTGGATTTCATCATAGTTGCTCATTTTCCAATATTCCTGCATGTAAAGCATATTTCATCAGTTTTTGGGAATACAATTAGACACTTTTGGACTAAAACGAAAGCTAAAAGGCGCTAATAAGTAGTCAAAATTCTCACTTATCAGGCGCAAGTGCTTTCGCAGGTGGGGTCGTTTTCTCAGCAGAAGCGGGCTCGCAGGTGCAAGCAGTGGTCCGAAGAAGCGGAACCTCAAGACTTAAGCTGGAACCGCACCTGCTATGATTTTTTCGTAGGTGTGGCATTGTAGATGCAACCCGCAGATGCAAAATCGCTGGGGCAGAAAAGGGGTCTTCGAGGGTTTGAATTTCATTTTCATATTTTGGACCTAGAGAGCTTGGTTTGTGGAAATATTTCAAGGGCTCTTCAAGGAAATCATTGAGGTAAGTGATTCTAACTCAGTTTTGATTATATTACACGAATCCATTATTATTTTCATCACTTAATTAGTGATTTGAGTTGGAAATTTGGGAAAATATTGTGAAAACTTCTTAGGCTAAAATTTGAGGATTTGAAAGGTAATTTGAGGTCGGATTTGAGTAATTATTTTATGGTTGGACTCGTTATCGAATGGGTGTTCGGATTTTGTAATTTTGGTCGGGTTTCGAGACGCGAGCTCGGGTTGATTTTTTGAGTTGACTTTTTGTTTCTATTTAAAGATCGTAACTTTATTGTTCGGAATAGTTTTCTACAGTTATTTATACTACGAAGTTGTTTTGGCTAGATTCGAGTCGTTCAGAGTTGGATAATCAAGGGAAAGGCCTACTAGTGGATTGAGTTAGCATATTTTGAGGTAAGTGTCCTGCCTAACTTTGTGTGGGGGAATTACCCATTAGGATTGGTGTTGGTTTGTGATAATTTTGATATGTCAAAGTCGTGTATGCAAGGTGACGAGTGTGTACATGGGCTAAATTTGAAAATTGACCGGTTTTAGCTATGTAGATTCCTTTCATCCTTTAATTGAGTTACCTTAATATGCTATATTCATCATCATTAGTCTATCTTCACATGCTCTACTTGTCTTATCTCTTACTTGTTAAATTGTCTTAACATGTTTAGTTAAAGTATTGTTTCATCTATTCTGTATTCATTATTTAACTGTTGAGTTCTTTACTTGAAGTTGTTATTCTCAGGATATCTTGTTGTTGAAATTGGTATTGAGTTATGAAGGTCGTGATCTACTTGAGGCAAAGTTGTAAAGTTGTAAAATACTATTCTTGTTGAGTTATTCACTTTCGGTTGTTATTGTTGATACTCTTGGGCATATTATGGTTGAGCCATGGGGTATTTGTTGTGAAAACACTATTGTTGTTGGTTTCTTGGCAAGTTGTGATATTGGACACTTGATGTGCGATTTGTGATACGTTGTGATATTGATACGCATGCGGTGGTATAAGGATTTGGGGTTGAAACGCATGCAGTTAGATAAGGTGGGCTTGATACGCGTATTGCAAGTGGGGGGAACTACTTGAAGCCACATGGTGTGATAAGGTGGGCTAAAACGCGAGAAACTATTTCGGGATAAAATAATTTTCAAAACTAAATGCAAGGCTCCCGCGGTGATATAAGAAAAGATTGTGAAATATTTTGTGATTTGAGACTACGAGGCGGTACCTCGGTAGTGACTCTTGTTGATACTTTCCCATTACTTCACTTGTGTTTTGTTGCTTGTTCCGTGTCATAGCCTTTCCTTATTTTCTTCTGTGATGCATTACTTGCCTTAGTTCAGTGTAGCTAATCTCGGTGTATTTTCTTTATTGTTTCATTTCTATTGTTATCATTATATCACTATTATATACCTGTTCAGTTTCTTAATTATTCTGATAGGGGCTTGACCTGACCTCGTCACTACTCTACCGGGGTTAGGCTTGACACTTACTGGGTACCATTGTGGTGTATGCATGCTACGCTTCTGTACGTCTTTTTGTACAGATCCAGGTACCTCCTACCAGTCCAGGCACCAGTGAGGCGAGCCTAGTTTCGAAGACTTCAAGGTATACCTGCCGGCGTCCGAAGGCCTCGAAGTCACCCTCTACGTAGTTTATTTCATTTCTTATCCTTCTATAGATACAGATATATAGGGATGTTCAGTACCATCTTATAGAGCTTGTAACTTGTATTCACCAGATTCTGGGGAGTTATTTATCTTGAGTTGCAGAGTTCCTTTACAATAGTTGTTGAGCATCTCAGAGTTTATTCGTTATTTCAATTATATTCCGCATGTGTATTAGGCTTACGGCTTACCTAGTCTTAGAGACTAGGTGCTATCACGATATCCTACGGAGGGAAATTGGGGTCGTGACAGATCTTGTCTCCCTAAGTAGGGCTATAAATGGCAGGATTAACAACCATTGTAGGACATGAAATATTCTACACATAAAAGTTATAATCAATTTTTTTATTCCGCTCTATTGTAACACTTGAAATATTATTTTACTCTTGTAATCGGAAAGGCTGAGTCCTTAGTCAGGCTCGTTATCTCCTTTAATTTCATTCGTTATTCTAATTTTCGTTCTTATTTATCATTTTTGGGATCAAATCGATTCGCTTGTTTATAAATCACGCTATAAATTTAACTGTATCGTTTTTAGGGTAAACACACCAATAAAATCCAAGACCGGACTCATAAGGCCAAAGTTAGTGTATATAATATCTTCACCAACTGAAAGCGGGTTAAAATCTATTTTCTTTCTCTTTTTCGATCTTCTTTTTATTTTTATTTTTATTTGGCATAGGAGGGGTGCGTCTATATTTATTTGCGGACGACTGCATCTGCAAGCAAATGAGGAAATTAAAGAAAAAAGATAATCATTGGCGAAATTTGAATAGCACACCATTTGGTGTAAAGTCACATTAAACATCAGTTCAGTCTCTTCTTTACAAATTGCAATAATGTAACTCTATTAAAAAATATTCCCTTGACAAATCATGCTAGTCGAAATAATTGACCCCTTTGTCAAAGTTTCTATCCTGGTCGTCTTTCTTCCCGTGTAATTGCTAGCTGGGAACCACGACTACACTGGCGGATCCAAAATGAAACGATATGGGTAGTGACAATAGCAAGGATTTTTCACTAAAAAGTACTATCACGAAAAAGTTAAAAGGGTATCAATATATAATAAAAAAAATTTATCGAGCTAATTAGTAATTTTCAGATGAAGGGTGCCGGTTGATACACCTTGATTACACGTGGCTTCGCCATTGCGTATCGCTTCACGAGAATCTAATAACTTTTGCTCAGGCTCTGAATATATATTAAAATTTGATTAAATATTTATAAATATTCAATTGCAAACTCAGTTATTATTGTATATTACCTTGAGTTACCTGATGGGTAACAAGGAATCAAAATAAAGGCAATGGATACACTCTTCTTTTTTTTCCTGACTGCCCATTAAAGCAAATTTGAACTATTGGCTGCCACTTAAAACATTCTTGATGAAGAAGAGTTGCATTGTTCATTTGATAATTACCAAAATAAATATAATCAAAAAACACACTTCCAGTAATAACTTTATCTAGCTTTAGTGTACTATTGATCAGGCATGGAAAAATTAAAACTTTTAAACGTAGTGAAACCTCCATCTACCACTAGGTTTTGGCCACTAACATACTTGGCATCATCACTAGCTAAATATAGAGCAGCATTGGCCACATCAATGGGCTCACAGTAGGCCCCTTTTAACTCACTTGCATTATTTACCATTTTAGCAAGTTGCTGAGCCTCCACTTCCGGGAAAAACAGTTTCATTTCATCAACTGTTAATGGTGTTGGAATTGCAAAGGGCGATATGCAATTGATTCTGATTCCGTTCTTGCATAGCTCCGGTGTTACAGATCTCATAATTCCGATTATGCAGGATTTGGATGTCGAATATGTGAATGGCGCTAGACCTCCCATTACACCAGTAACGCTAGCTGTGCACAAAATGGAACCGGTTTGTCGCGGAATCATCACCCGAGCGGCGTGCTTGATTCCTGCCACCACACCTCCTACGTTAATAGCCATGACGCGGTTGAATGCACCGAGGTCAAGGTCCATGATGCTTGGTGGAGTACTACATGCAATGCCTTAACAGAGACGGATTAAGAATTTAGTAAAAGGAAAAGTTCAAGTTCGATTATTTATTGAGGTGTAAAAGATATTTAAAAAAATAAAATCAATAATTATGTCATATGTAAACTGTTTTATCCTGTATTGGCCTCTGATTATACCTGCATTGTTGTACATTATGTCGAGCTGTCCGTGGCTAGAGACGGCGAAATCCACGGCGTTGGAGATGTCGGATTCTTTGGATACATCACAGACCACAAAGGTGGCGTTTGGTCCGAGCTCGGAGGCTGTTTCTTCGCCGAGCTGCCTTTGTATATCTGTGATTATGACCTTGGCACCGTTGCTGATGAATTTAGCGGCGGTTTCTTTGCCGATGCCACTTGCTGCCCCTGTGATCAGCGCCACTTTGCCTTCTAGTTTCCTTACATTCACAAAATTATTTTCAGCTTCGGATAACCAACTTGGTGATGGTTTGGAAAAAAAACAAGGTTGAAAACCTTTTTGGCCAATTTTTGAACTTGTGTTTGTTTGATATTCTTTTGTAAAAATAAAAAGTTACATTACCTTTTTGTTTAAGATTTGAATTAGTTTACAAGTTTTTGGAAAATTTTAAAAACAGCTTTTAGGTGTTTAAAGTACGGTCATGTGACATCAATTATAGTAATATACTCAGAATAAGAGAGAGACCTTTCTGTGTGAGTAGAAAACTCCTTATTGAAGGTTTGGAGTAGCAAGGATGTGGAGGTGATCATGCTCCTGGAGTTAAGTTAGAAATAAGAAGAACAAAATGAAATGGAGATAAGGTATAGTATGCGGAAATATGCGAGCCAGAAAAAAACAAAGTACGAGAAAATGAAAACAAAAGTAAATACGTCAATGGCAGCTGGGCCAGGGATCCATTTTAACACTATTCTAAGAAATCATCGCCTTGCCAAATTTGGACCATACGAATAGCCTGTCTTTTATTAAATTAGACCAATAATTGCCAATAACATATATACGGAATAGATTTTGCATTAAGCTGAATTCAGAGACAATTGATAAGAAAAGTCATCTCTTTTAGTGCTTCAAGCTGTTAGAAAGATTGATGAGAGCTGAGAGCTAGAATAACCTCGAAGCTATCCTCTTCAACATGTTGGCTTCTTCTTCTTCTTCTTAAGGGATCGGAGATGGAGCTTTCGGAGATAAAGTGATAAAAAGAGTCCCTCTTAGTATTCACTCTCTCAGGCCAATAGTGTGTTAAATGAATTCAGCGGGCTGAGTCTAAATAGAAAACATGAGCACGTCAACAACGCACATGTGAAAATAGCTAAGCGCTTGGATTTGGATTATGGGAGTAATGCAAGAATTAGAATGTAAAGATTAAAGTGATAGAATTATTTCGTGTTAGATATTTGATTTGATTTAATGTTATACTAGTTTAAGTTTTATACACTAATGATGTAAAATATTTACACAAAGCTGGTCACTTATTAGATATATACTTATAGGTAAAAATTTCTTGGTTAGCATTAATTATTGTAGTATATGATACATATACATTTATATGTGGAGGATAACAAGGACAGAAAAATTATTGGTGTGAAATTGGAATAGTATACCACGTGGTGCAAAGGTTCAAAGGCTAAGCTACTCCAATCACATTAAAAACAGCTGGGTCACTTCATTACAAGTTGCAAGTTGCAACAATAAAATCAAGAATGCAAAATCACATATTGCCTCTTCTTGACTGTTTCAAACTCTGAGCTACCTCATTGATAACAAGGTATCAAATTAAAATAACAGAAAAGGTCCATATATGCCCTTGTACTATACGAAATTGAGCACATTTGCTCTTCGTTAATACTTTAGCTCAAGAATACCTTTACCGTCACATAGTTGGTCCATATATGCCCTTAGAGTCACACAGTTGGCCCATATATGTCATTTTCGAAACGAAAACCACTCAAACTAATTAGCTCTTTCGCTAATTGTATTAAAGTGTATTACAAACACTATTTTTTTTATTAGTATATTTTTTTCTTTACCTTTCTCTTTTCTTTCTTCTTTTTTCTTTTCTTCTCTTTTTTTTTTCCTTTTTCTTTCTCCCTTATCCGATTTCCTCCGTGTTGCTGATGTCTTCTCCATTTTCGTCACCAATTTCACTTGACAAAACTCATGAATTCCAATTACTAAGAAAATTCTCCCATAAGGTAATCAAGTTCCAATTTCACTGGCCCTCTAAATAAATGAAATTAAATTGTTCCAAAAATTATCGTTTAAACTTTAAAATAATAAAAATATCTCAACCTTTAACAATACTCAAAAGACCAAAATATTTAAATTATTTTCAGAAAGATAATTTAATGATTAAAAGCCTAGAGTTCAAGTTCTAGTGTTATAAATTTGAGTTGTTAGTCTTTTTTTATCTTTTTTCAACTGGATATTTTTTATTTTTTTATTAACTATGTAAATTAGGAGTATACATGAACCGGGTTGGTTCGATTGTTATCAAAACCAAACCAAACTAATTATATCGGTTTGAATTGTTTCGATTTTGTTGGGTTTTTTGGGTTTTTTGTTACATAAATATTATTTCAATCTTACTTTATTAATTTTTTATAACTAAATATATGTTCAGTAAAAATTAAAAAATTAACAAACATATGATATATTAAAATATTCTTATGGAAGAATTTTCTTAGTAATTGGAATTCATGAGTTTTGTCAAGTGAAATTGATGACGAAAATGGAGAAGACATCAACAATGGAGGAAACCGGATAAGGGAGAAAGAAAAAAGAAAAATAAAAAGAGAAGAAAAGAAAAAAGAAGAAAGAAAAGAGAAAGGTAAAGAAAAAAATGTACTAATAAAAAGAAAATAGTGTTTGTAATACACTTTAATACAATTAACGAAAGACCTAATTACTTTGGGTGAATTCCGTTTCGAAAAGGGCATATATTGGTCAACTGTATGACTTTAAGGACATATATGGACCAACTATGTGACGTTAAGGGCATTCTTGAGCTAAAGTATTAACGAAGGGCAAATATGCTCAATTTCGTATGGTAGAAGGGCATATTTGGACATTTTCTATTAAAATAAAGACAATAGAGCACTCTCTTTTGCAATTTGCAGTGTCGGCAATTGTGAAGTTCAGGCTAATATTCTCGAAAATCATCGGAATTATTGACCCTTTTCTTTTTTGTTTTAAATTGAATTCGTCTACTTCATCAAGAGAGCTAAGGGTGGTCGATCCTATAACTTTTTGGATTTTTCATTTAAAAGGTTGCCGTCTTAGCCGTTTGTGTAATTGGATGAATCTTGAAATATTAAATAAATTGGAGATAAAGTTAATTGACATATACCCCCTCCCCCTCTTTTTTTTGATAGGCAAGTAGCCTTGTGATAGTTGGTAGGATACACTATAAATCATGCGTATTGTTATAGTATTTTTTATGGAACAATTATTTATTTTTATTCAATTCAATAAAATTTTATTTTAAATAAATCATATATCTGTCTATGTGTCCTTTGCTTAGCAGATGATTTAGTATACCGAGTTTAGCTTATACACAGAAGATTAAATCATCGGTTCATATAAGTCATTAAGTTTATGTTCACAATCTAATGATGGAATTGGACAAACCATCGGAATGGTTGTAGCACAAGATTAAATATAATTTATCTTGATTGTGAAAATGATTTAATTCTGACTTCTTGTGCTAGTACATTTTGTATGTATTGAACAGATCAAGTAGAGATAAATATTTTATATTGACTTAATAAAAATAATTTCTCTAGTCCATTCAATATACTTATACTCGTAATCTTGATATAATTATTTTTAGTTGTGTGTGTAATTTATTGTTTTGATTTATTAAAAGGCGAGATTCTTTTGTGAGTCATTAAGCCTGATAAATTAGACAGTAATGATATATATTGGCAAAATAATAATTAGTTGATAGAATCCATGTCTCGGCTTTGAGATTGATGATAATCCTTTATGAAAGCTTATAAGTTTTCATGTGTAAATCCGACCGGTAGATTTTGTATCTGACACTTGAAATAAGTTAAGCGAAAGCCTAAAGGAAGCAATTAATAAATTAAATTGTCAGTAATTTAATTTGATTGATTAGTATCCGAATCTTAACATGGGGAGTTAAATAAGATTTTATGGAAGAATTTCAAAATTGAACGAAGGAGTGCAATAACGAATTTTTTGTGGAATAATTTGTAATTTATTATGGTAAAAATTAATTTCAAAATTCGAAATCTATCTATCTATCTATCTATCTATATATATATATATATATATATATAAAAGAATGCCAATAGTAGATGAGGTGGCGTCTCTCTTAGGCATCATTTGTATTCATCTTTTTTGTCCATTTTTTTTACTTTCTCAACTTAAAATCAATTTGTTTTACTTTCTTAACTTTTTAAAAATACTGGAAACAAAATTCAAATCACTTCTTTTGGTAACAAACAAAACCGTCGCTTCCTTTAACAATTTTCGCACCATCAGTCACACACATTTAATAGCAGTTGTAAACCTTCATGTGCCATATTAAAATCCCTAAAAAAAACACGACTCTTCATTAAACTTAATAGTATGTATAACAGGTAAAAACCTTTTCACCAGCTTCCCGGATTATCTTCTTTTATTGCCATCCTAAAAATTCACCTTTGTTTGTGACTATTCTATGGGTGGTGGAAGTAATATTTCTATTTCACGAATCTTTGATTAGCTTATTTAAGTTTATCAACTACGTAGTTCAATTTCTTTTTTAGACTGGTCGTAGTTACATTTTAAACTTTAACAATCTTAATGGAAGAAAATATATGTTTTCCTTTATTGTTATATATATTTGTGTTTCTCTGATGAAACAAGGTGGGTTGCTCTGATGGTAAGCACCCTCCACTTCCAACCAAGAGATTGTGAGTTCGAGTCACCCCCAGAGCAAGGTGGGGAGTTCTTGGAGGGAAGGATGCCGAGGGTCATTTTGGAAACAGCCTCTCTACTCCAGGGTAGGGGTAAGGTCTGCGTACACACTACCCTCCCTAGACCCCACTAGTGAGATTATATTGGGTTGTTGTTGTTGCCGTCTCTGGTCTTCAGAGTTACACTAGCATCGTGGGTGTGGAGTGTGGACTTTGTAAGTGAATCCTCCCATTGTTTGTAATGTCTCATACATTTAGTAATGATTCAGATATTGCATATTAGCACTAACAATTGTCTTCTTGTTTACCGGAAAAATCGGATAACGTTAGATTTATTGTATGGTTCTAAGGATATGCGATACTATTTGATATAAATCGTGAAGAAAAATAGAGATACGTATATTCTTGACTATGAGAATGCAAATAGTGGGCAATAAGAATGAATGAGATAAAGTAAAGCAAACACAAAGGGATATCTTTCAATCTGAAAAGTGATTTTTTTGTCTCTGCCCTTTAGCTTACAAGAATTTCCCCTTTTATAGAAGAGGGTCATTACAAAAAACAATAAAATAAAATATATAGTGGAAGGGCAATGATGACTTGTCTCTTCCTTGATTCCCGTCAAGATTCTCTCTCTTGGTGCGGTCGCAACGGCTCTTGTCTGTGAGCTCGATACTGGCTCGAGCTCGTTACTGGGTCGGGCCTTTCGGTCTTGGCTCGAGTCCGATCTTCGAGATGGGCATCGCGCATTTCCGACCTCGAAGCAGTGCCTTGCGGATCGATTCGGCCACGGGCTCGATAGGGT